GGCCTCAGCTCTCCTCGGTGCCTCCTCCATCCTCTGAGATCAGCCTCATCACCTTCCCTGTTAATCTGTGTCCTGCCCGGTGTTTCCTGGCTGCGTCCCGGCCCCACAGCGCCCAGCCAGCCCTGCCACCAGAACAGCATCAAACAGGGACCCCCCCAGAGCAACACCCCTGGCTGGGAGCCCCACAGCGGTTCTTGGGGTAACAGACACCGAACTCCCCCAAACCAGCCCCTGGGGCAAAGCTTTTACTGCTGGTGCTGGTCAAGCTCTGTGCCCTGGCAACCCTGAGCACCATGGCACAGAGCTGCCGGCTCCCCCGTGGCACAGGGAGTGTGTTACCACTGTCCATGTCCCCTCCTGCCAGCTCTGGTGGCAACGTGGCGGCTCTTTGTCAGGCTGCACCATTCCAGTAGCTGGGCTGACACACGGCGGGGCAGGTTGGCTCCGTTTCAGTGCAGCTGAGTGGGCAAGGGATGCACTAGTCCATGAAGCCCCATCAGGTCAGTCTGTTCCACTCCAAGGTTGGACAGAAACATATTTACAGGGAGTGATTTCACTGCTCTGTGAGCTGTCACTACTCGCTTAAAGCAAACTGGTGAAGGTCAAGAGAGACAGTCAGCTTCATCCTGCAGGTTCTGCTGCCTGGGACAATGAGGACAACCTTTCCTTTATTTATTTATTTATTTTCCTTATTCAGGTGAACAGCTTCTCTATCAGATTCCCAACAACAGAGTCCTCACCAGTAAACTGGGACTTCTCTGCTGCCTGAGAGAGCAAGAGCGGGTGATGAAAAAGATCAGGAGCTCTAATTCCAAGTAAGAACTCGCACCTCTTTGAACCTTGACCAGAAACACACCAACAGACAGTGAGAGCACATGAACAAAGGAGCAGTTTATTCTGGATGCACAACAATACAGGATGCAAAGATAATGGAGTTGTACTTCTTTCTTATCACTTTATTTTTCCAGAGGAACCTACATCAGAGACAGAATTTCTTCTTTCTCTGTGTCTGGAGCTGTAGGGGTGCCAGGTCCCTCAAAGACAACAGTTTCCCTCTTTTGGGTACATCGTCCTACTGGAAAGGTCACAACTTCTTGTGCTGTAGACACTGTAAATAGAAGAGAAGCTTATTGCCATTTCTGCTCCTAAATTCTGGCCTATCAAAAACCAAAATGGCAGTTCTGTACCATGGTCACCTGCAGCCACCTCAACCAGTTTTCAAAAAACTGAGCATATGAAGAATGTTTTAAGGCTAACAAATATTCTGGAAAGCTTATGGGATGGGTCTCTTTAGCTTGGAGGAGACTGAGGGGTGACCTCATTAATGTTTATAAATATGTTAAGGGCGAATGTCAGGAGGATGGAGCCAGGCTCTTCTCAGTGATGCCCAATGGTAGGACAAGGGGCAATGGGTGTGAGCTGGAACACAGGAGGTTCTGCTTCAACTTGAGAAGAAACTTCTTTCCAGTGAGGGTGCCAGAGCCCTGGGACAGGCTGCCCAGGGAGGGTGTGGAGTCTCCTTCTCTGGAGACATTCAAGACCCGCCTGGACGCCTTCCTGTGTGATCTCATTGAGGTTCCTGCTCTGGCAGGGGGGTTGGACTGGATGATCTTCTGAGGTCCCTTCCAATCCCTGACATCCTGTGATTCTGTGAGGTAGCTCAGGAAAAAGATACAACAAACACACAACAGTCTACAAGCAGGGAAAAAAAAGCCGTTTATTAAATTTCTACTTGCAGCCATCCTTCCCGTAACAGAGGAATGAACGTGCTGGATGAGGTTTTCAACTTGTCTTTGATTCTCCCCTAGGTTACTGAAGATGGAAGAATTCTTCCCAGAATCTTTTCGCCTGGATTTAAAAGATGAGAGAAATGCCTTTTTTCAGCTTTGCAAAGGTGAATTGTCTTAACCATGGTGACAACCAACTTAAATAGTTATGTGATCCTCTAAAATGTGTATGAAAGGACACCCAGTAATACCTGATGTCCATGTGCATGTGTATGTACATCCTTACCCACGTGTTCAAGTGAATACTACAATAGACTCGTTCTCTCTGCAGAAGAACAGATTTGGATCTGCAAACCAAGTTACTCTAACCAAGGTCGAGGAATTTTCCTGCTTAAAAATCCAGCTGCTGTCAACACCCTTCAAGCCCAGCTCCACAGCACTGAGGAATACCTGCTCAATAAGAAGGTGTCGTACAAGGTTCCTCAGGCAAGAATAGTGCAAAGGTAGAGACTGAAGCCTAGAAATTCATGTGTGAGTGGTATGTGTGATGAAGCACACTGACCTCAGAGAGCTGAATTGTTCCAGAGGTATTTAACGTGGTTACACCACAACTCATCAACCCATGAGATTTCATTCTGTGGGAGAGAGGCTATTTCTCTGGTTAGTCTGTCTTGCATCTGCACTTCAGTCATTTCAAGGCAGATCTTTGTCATCAGAAAGATTCGAGTTTACCTTTGTCTGGAAATTTAAGAATGACTTCAAAAGGCCAGATGCTACAGTTCTGTACATGAATGCTAGACATAAAGAAAGCCTTGTGCAAAGCAATTTAAATTAGATATTATCCCAGCTTCTTATACAAAGCTAGCATGTTATAAATTGTACAGCTACAATACCTGTTCCACGCAATCTAACAAAGCCTCCCAAATATCTTCTGAACTCTGTCACAATGATGTAAAAGTCTGTACCCCAATCAACAGGCAGTGGCTAACTAACAGCCCCTAAAATTTTGGGTGAGGGTTGTTTTATTTTTTATTCCTTGCACGAATAAAAGGACCATGAAGGTTCTTCTTTGTAGAATATATACCCTCTCAGCCACTGACAGAACGTTTGTAGAGTAGCAGAACAGCAGGAAAAGGAAGGGAAAAATAAGGCAGCAGAAATAAAGAGAACAGTTCCAGCTACTGAACATTACTTGCTTACTCTTACACAACTCACTTGACTTCCCTTTGCTTCAGTGTTCCTCCCTCGATTGAGGAATGCATGATAATTAAATCACTTCAGTGCTTTGAGATGAGTCGCTTTGAGATGAGTAAATGCAAAAAAGATGTTTCCATTAGTTTTCTTAGGAGCTGCAGTCCCCACCTGCCTTTGATGCTGCCTTTGGTGTGCACAGCTGGGCATCCAGGGCATTCAAGGTGCCCATACATGCAGGACATTGTGCAAAAGCACATTCTGCCATGTAGTGATCACTGCATGTCCTGGAAAAGTGATAACACACCAATTCCTCACGCTGACCCTGTGCCACTTCCCTGATGTTCTGCCATCATGGCTTGGCATCTTTATTTTGCAAGAGAACACAGCACACAGTAACCTTCCCAAGAACTGCCCTAGCCAAACAAGCAGTTTTCTCTGCTTGCATTCATCTAAACATTTCTTTTCATAGCAAAGGAATGGTTGGCCTCATTGAAAAGGGTAAGAGAGATTTGTACAATGGTAAACTGGAACGATGACCTTACAGGCTTTCTGCAACAGGCTGGACTGTATTTATGCAGCAGCCAGTATAGAGAGCAAAACAACAACTGTCTGACAAAATTAGACCAAGGGCCTTAGAACAAGATGTGGTCTTTGACATGGACGAGCAGCAGCACCAGGGAAGAAGTGGTTGGACTCTTAGACCTCACCTTGATTTCTCTTAGTGAGGAATGGCTTATGCTCTGAAGAATGAGGCTCCATATTCCTTTGAAAACTGTTGTGAGCATCGATTGTTTTAACAGCATATCCTTGTTATTTATGTAGACATCCAGCAACCTTTGATGATAAAGGGAAACAATTCCCAGATTACATCACTGGCAATAAAAGCAATGGTGCTGTATGAAGGGCTCTTTGTGTTCAGACATAAGCTTTGTATATTCTCCTGTAAATATTAGTAAATCTTTAATTACTTTCCTCTCCTGAGACTCAGCACAGTTTCGATTCCTCTGGAAAGGAGCTGTTCTTGGCATTTCTAACTTCTCCTACGTGCGCCCTCTTCTGCCATTCACCTTAAAAACAGTCCTGAAGAAGGGACAAACGGATCAATATTGTGGTGTGAAATGAACGGGCTGTGGGGTTTGGTGGGAGCTTTGGATTGCCATGTATGATGGTGCCTGTTGGTGACGTGTGTTGAAATACTGCTCTGACAGGTACATTCACCAGCCTCTGCTCCTGGAAGGGAAGAAGTTTGATGTCCGGTCGTACCTCCTCATTGCCTGCACAGCACCATACGTGCTATTTTTTGCCCAGGGTTATGTCCGGTTGACCTGTGCCAATTATGATGCCGCTTCTGATGATCTGACTGTTCATCTCACCAATCAGGTAAACTAAGGTCACTTCATGCAGAAGAAGGGGAAGGTGTGGTTGATAGAGATGGGAAGCAAAAAAAGACTTTGGAAAGGCTAAAAATAAATGCCTCGTGCATGGAAGATCCATGCACCCAAGAAAGGGATGTGGGCTATGGTCAGAGATGTCAGAAGCAGTACTGGATCAGCTTCTGTTCTCTGCCATGGACCAGTTCTCTGCTTAACCTGACCATTTCTTTCCTTGGACCTCTTTTTCCTGCCTTTATTATCTCCTGTATCTGTAGACCATAAGCTTCTTAGGGTAAGAAACCTTTGACTGCAGCTACCTAGCACAAAGGAGTCTTAATCTTGCCTAAAAATTTTTGCTGATCCTGTTGTGCTTAAACACAATTATCATCATGATGTAAGATGCAGATGGGTTCTTCAAGAGCCATCATTCTTACATCTCCACCTCTGCTTTTCTTGCTTCCCAAATGAGAGCTGTAACAGAACAAGACTGTTCAGGCATGTACCCATCTCATCATACGAAACAGAAGCCTGTCTTGCTCAGATCTACCTGAGTTTTTACTTCAAATGAGGCCCTTCAGTAGTTAGAACTGGCCCTGATGAAACAGAATTAGAAGAATCAGAGGGCAGAAAATGGTTTGCTTTTAGAGCCCTTCTCTCCTCCCAGTGTCATGCTGTGTTCTGAGAAATAGCAAAATCCACAGAAGAGAGGTATCAGGCAAGCTCACTTCAGCTGCAGTTTTACAGCTCCTGTAGAAGTGCAGTTCAGGACAGCAGATGATAGCTGCTTCCTGCAATATAAGCTATTATCAGTATGCCACTCGTTTTCCTGGAATAGTTTGTTTGCTCAGCTAGAGAGCTATCCACACAGGAATTCAGGTGCTCAGTTAGGATCCCATGGCACAAGTGATATTAAACAAAGGACAGGTGTTTATTAGCAGAACATGAATTATCTGGGTTCCTGCTGGGAGGAGGAACAAAATTTACAGGAGCGGTTACTAATAGGCCAGACTTCAAATTAGAGTTTATTCTGCTCTCATTCCCTTCCTACCCTTTCCTCCCACTTGGAACCAGCCATTTTCCTACTGTATTTCCAAAAGACAAGAAGCAACAGAGACAGCATCACTAACCACAAACGTTGCAGCCCCACAGTAACTGTCCTACAGATGGAGCTGCAGCCAAACTCAGCTGTTTCCCAGGAAAAGGGGATTTGCCTTTGTTCCAACAATTCAAATACCCCATTATTGCTAAACTCCAGCTGATACAGGGATTAATGAGACAGTGGAAGAGAGAAGCCCACATCTTGGTTTCCTCTGGGAATTTCCTATGGGAATCCATACATATCTCCCAGATGAACTCTCCTCTAGGAGAGCACTAGGCAGATAGGCACTGGAAGCAGATTTAGTCCAGAGAATATCATGACTATGACTTGAAAGCAGCTCTCCCTGTCTGCCAGCCACTGGTCCAGACACACCATACACACATACACACACCCAGAGAAAACAGTGCTTGGACAGGGACCTCGGGTAATTGTCTCTACAGTGTCCATGTGGGCCAGGCACATTTCTGCCTGCAGCAGTGTTGTACAACAGGAGTCAGCACGTGCTCAGGTTTAGCTCTGCTAGCGAGGGGCTCTATTCCCTCCACCTTTATAACTTGATCCTGGGGTTCTTCCCAACTCCAGATGCTGGGAACGACTCAGAGTCGTTGGATTTCTGCCACACAAGGCAGTTCTCAGTTATTCTTCGCTGCCAGAAATCTAATCCTCCCTTTGCTCTGTTTCCCCACCTCTCAGTACATACAGAAGAAGAACTCCCTGTACAGCCAGTTGAAAGATGAGACAGTTTGGCGGATGGAGCACTTCAACAGCTACGTTAATCAGAAGTTCAGGAAAACCAATGGCCTCCCCAAAGACTGGGTTTTCACTGTGTTTACTGTGAGTGCAAGCAAGTGTACGGTGTGCTCGTCTGCCTAATTAGGGTGACAGGAATAGGGAAAAAACCTGACAGTTCACCAGAGCCCCCAAGGAAACACATACACTGAGTGAGAAGGTATTGATGGTCCCATGGTAACCATCTGCCTGCAGATACTAAACACAGAAGTGAAGACACAAAGAGTTTAATTTTAATAAAATGAGTAAACTGTTGAAAAAGAGAGGGTGAATGTAAATGTTAGATATAAAAATGCAATTATGGTCTTCATGTTCCTGGCCCGATGCTGTGGTCCTGCATCAAAAAATAAAGTACCTTAGAGAGCTCTCCAGCCTGACAGGTCTTAGCTTGAAAAGGGACTACAGTTTCAGTGGTCTCTTTCCTGTCTGACTTGGTCTCACCCTTTACCTTCTGTTTGATTTTGCCACATGAAAATCATGTCAGGGCCTTATATCTTCTCTGATCATGGAGAAGATTTCACTGTCTTTCCAGTCTCACTGAAGAAACAAAGTGAAGAAATTATCTGAGTCCCTGAGACTTCATTTTATCAGCCTGAGTCTAATGATGCATCAGTTCTCTACGTGATTTGCTGGGGTGAAAATGAAAAGGGCAGAGGACACAGCTTTCTCAGGTTAATTTTGTCAATGCTGTAGTTTAAAGCCAAATACAAATAAAATTAAAAACCTAAAAACTTTGTTGAAATATGTTTCTGTTTAGAAAAACAGTTGAGAAGCAAATCTAGTTGAATTTGCTAAGTTTCTTAGGGGATCAGCTAACTTTATGATATCTCTCTTCATGTAGAAATTCCCCACTGTGCATTTCAACCCCTAATTGAATGAAACTTAGCATCACCTACTGCAAGTTGCTGTAGCTCACCAGGCTTCTTTAAAATACAATGCCCAGCACAGCTGAGAGGGGCTTGTGAGTCATCACTGTCAGCAGTGGTTGTGCTCAGCTCACATCTAGGTGCCCTCATAAGAGTAAATGAAAGAACACCACTAAAAATGCTGCAGAGAGCTCATTCTGAGTAAGGGCCAAGGGCCAAGATTCCTTCATGTTCCATCATAACAGTTTGGAGAACCAAGTTCAAGAGAAGGTTTCAACCAACTCAAAGTGGACAGAAATGTGGTCTGTAAAATACAACACCCTTCCAAGTCCAGAGAGGAGCTCTGCTGGAGGCAGGGGAAGAAAAAAATGTCCCTAAACCAAGAAGACACCCATGACTTAGAATGACTGCTATGTCCTTGACATTCTCAATGACCAGTTACCACTGTTCCCTGTCTTTCATTTCAGCAAAGGATGCAGCAGATCATGTTGCAGTGCTTCCTGGCAGCCAAGCACAAACTGGATCGCAAACTGGGCTACTTTGATCTCATCGGGTGTGACTTTTTAATTGATGAAAACTTTAAGGTATGAATTCAATATCATTAAATACTGAGTATGATATTGGCCAGATGTCTACTGCCAGCAGTATGGCATGGCTGACACAGGCTCTGGTGCTAGGAATTAAGTAGAGCATTCAGTCAGTCAGCTATGAAGTGCAGGATTCTTTTTTTTCTCCAGTTCCATAGTCCAGGATGAAGACATGGCACCTGTACTGCCTGCACATTTACTGCACATAGAAATCCTGGCATTAACAGCTCAGGATGGGAAGAAAAATACTTAGTGCAGCTGAAACTGTTCTGTGCAGAATTTTCATGGTGAAGTGCAGTTCATACTGAAAAGTATGGGACTTTTAATGCTTACTCAGGTTTCTCTTGCTCCAGAAACAAATCAGGCCAGATGATCAGCCAGCATAAATCAGTGTGTAATGTCTCCAACATCACATGAAATATACTGATTTTCACTAGCTGGGTATCTATCAAAGAGAATGAAGAATGCACCCTTATCATTCTGAAGATCAGTCATTATTGATTCAGATGTCAGCATCAGCATCTCCATGTCCACTCTGGGTTCACCACTTAGCAATAGGTCAGCCCACTGAATCTATCAAATCTGCTAGAATTACAACTCAAAGTTGTAAAAAGTCGATAAAACACAGACAAGAAAATCCAGAAGAAAGGGAAACATTAAATACAGTGATTGAGGAGCTTTCAGTGCAACACAGTCAAAACCACCTGGCCTAAACATAACAGAAAGCCATCTGGCAGATTCTGCTGTTGCTAAAGCAGAAAGGAACTCAAACATATTCCAGCAAAGGGCAATGGGAACAGCAAACCCTAGGAAAGAATGGAATTAATGTATGCAGCAGTGGGTAAGGCACCTGAACAATAGACTCCTTTGTACAGGAAGTCAATGGCAAGGGAGAGTAAACGGCAAAGACGTAGAAACTGGCGCTTCTCAAATTTCAGTGGGAATTGTCCTTTGCAGCGCGTGCATGCAAAGCCCTGGCTGTGTAAACTTGAAGTAGAATAGAAGATCCAGTATCACTCTATTGTGGCAATTCCTACTTGGTTAGTTAAAAACTTCAAGCGTTTAAAGCCCATTACATCCCCATGTATTTTACAGATGGACAGAGAAACAAAATCTGTTCCTTGATTAGTGTTATGTATAAGAATGAGGAGGATTTCTGGCCACTTCGTGGTGACAGAACCTGGAACTTCCCTTTGAGACAGAGTCATGTGGAAATTTAGGCATTTATTTAGCACAGGTTTGTCCATGTTTCCTTGTCCCTGCTGGGGAGCAACTAGCCTATTGTTTTCTTGGTGCACTGCTGCATCAAGAGACACCTGTACTCTCCCTGCAGAGGCAGTGTACAACAGTTGGATGCAAGACACAGTTAACACTGGTCAGTGCAGCAAACTCCCAGTTTTCTGTGGGTTCACATTACAATTCCTGGATTCCTGGACATCCTGGAATACACAACAGCCTTATTTTCCCTGTCATGCTATTTCATGACATGTGTAGCATCTGCTATGCGCTGATTTAATGTGGTCTTGTATGTTCAGTCCTATAGCTCATCATGCCTTTCCCTCTTCCTTATTTGTCTCAGATATAAATGCCCCCAGCATCATTCCTAATAATTTCTAAAGGTCCTGCAGCGTCCCAATTCAGTCTTTGGAAGGTGTTTTTCCTGCCTCAGGGTTGTTAGAAGCACTGACTATGAAAGCAGGGCCTGCTGAGAAACCACAGCCTTCTGTAGAACTTTGCATATTCACACGTAAGCTGAGAAAAGAATGAAGTACTTTAAGAGGAGAGGGAGCAAAAGTGACGGATGTGGTTTTGCTGTTGTTGGCATCTTCCCTACTGTTTTCTGGAGCTTCCTTGTGCTGCACTATAAGTGCCTAAGTCACTACAGAGCTTAGGAGATTGTCATTTAAATGCTCAAGGAACCTGTTCTCAGAAAGCATTGCATCAGCCATGCAAAAGGGTTTCTCTCCAGAGGTATGCTGGGAAGACAGATGTGTACATTTTTTATCAGCCATAAAGGGATTCAGCTGTCTATCAGCAGAGAACAGACTGGACACAGATAAGCCATTTGGCAATTTGTGATAAATGTACATAAATGAAGATAACACTCAAATCCCTAGTTAAAGCAGGGACGGTTCCTTTGATTTCAATGACATAGCTTTGCATTCACCCTGGGAGTATGAGGTACCACATGGATACTGTAGTCTTGGTTGTGTCCACCCCAGGTCATGATGATTAAAAAAAAATCAGATAAAAGCTTGTAAAGACTGTGGAAAACAGAACCCCACTGCCTTAGCCTGTGGTCTCCACTATTGCTAAGTGGGTCCTTTTCTGGGTCAGCAAAATCTGAGTAGCCCCTCCAGTACTTGGTTTGTGACTGTGCATGTGGCTTCAGCTATTTAAAGTTTTTAAGCCTACCTGTGATGTCTTGACAGAGCAAGTTTCAGATGTGACAGAACATGGAATTGCACTGACAGGCTACAGGGAGCAGTAACCTCTTCATTCCCAAGAAACATCCAGAGCTGCACTCCTGACCAAAGCCACAGGGCACTCATTATTGTTCTCATCACTTGAAAAACCTAAAGAAAAAGTAAAGTCCATGGTTAGGAAGTTGAGGACAGACATTCTAGGGTTTGGTTTCTTTTCTTTGTCATATGTTTGCTAGGAAATTTTGAGCAAGGCACATGGTATGGCAGATGCAGGGAGAAGCACAGGAATTTCAGTCTACACTAAGTTCCCATTGAAGTTATGGATATTCACACAGATATGATAAATCTTGGCCTCATTTTCTCTTCTCTTCTCTTCCTGAAATACAACAAAGAGCATTTATTAACTTGCTCTGGTTGTTGAGAGGTTAAGGGCATTTAAAAACTGCAAGACATTCAGGCAGTACAATAATGGGGAATGTAGAAGATAGGCAGCATGACAGATGTCACAGAGAACTTTCTTCCTCCTGTTTGTCAGTTTTATTTGTTTTGAAGAAGAAATCAAAACCTAATCAAGACAATTAAGAAGGTTCATTGAGTTTATCTGTCAGCACAAAATCTTATGAACTTTTAATAGGAAAAAGAACACTTACGCAGAAGAATGAGTTTGCCAAGAAAAATGTATGTAACTTAGGTGCCCTCTGTTGGCATCTGCAAAGCAGGGTTTTTTTGAGCAGTTGTTCCAGTTCTCTGGAAAAAAAAAGACATTTTACTGCCTTCACTTACCAGTCTTTTCATTTTTTAAATAAAGTATTTCAATAAAGTTAAAATCATTGTATTTTATTCTGAGCAAAATGAAGTATCAAAGTGAAGGCTATCATGTTGCTACAATCTACCAAATACTTCAGACTTCACAGGTTTCAGAAAGAAAAGATTATTTTTATTTATTTTTTTAATATCAATTACATTGTATTTTATTCTGAGCAAAATGAAGGCTATCATGTCGCTACAATCTACCAAATACTTAAGACTTCACAGGTTTCAGAAAGAAAAATTATTTTTATTTATTTTTTTAATATCAATTAAAAGGGACTAAAATTCTTCCGTGGCTGTTACATGATTAAATATTCTTCCTTACAAAATGCCAAATAGTTCCTACATGTTATATACAAGATACAGCACCATATGGTGGAGGCAGGAAGTGAACAGATGAGTTTATCTCACTATGAGAAAAGAATAGTAAACAGCATTTCATACAAGTCCTTTGTTTGGTTTCACAGAGATTTGTAACTGGACTATCACATTCTGTGGCTTATAGCTTCAGACCTTGACACTTCAGAGGGAAACTGAGATGTGACTAGTGTAGATATGTAAAATTAGTATCTTACACTGCTTCTACCTGAAACTAAAGCTCACTCAGGAAAACAAAGCCAAGGGTTCATTGAAAACTCAGTACCATGTTTGCTTAGTTTTGATCCCATGTCCACCTCAAATCAAAATGACTCCTAGATTCCTTATAACTTTATTTTATGATATCCAAAAAACTCAACTAGAAACTGTTGTGGAAACTGCTATGTTAAAAACCACAGTGTCTTTACACACCTATAGAGCAAGAGTTAATTTAAAGAGCATTAGCTGGAGACACAAAATAATAATGTGTAGTATTGTTCTCAAGGAAGTAAATGTATGCAAAAAGGGATTTTGTTTCATTCATCCAGTCCTTATGGAAATTCTCTCCTGCCTGCATTCTGTGTTATGGGATTTTGTTGGGATTTACCAGTACTGCTACCTCTCAAGGTGCTCACTAAGTCAGTAAAAGGGCATTGCTCTGACTCTAAGGAGATCCAGCCCTGTTTCCTCACTGGCATTCATCTTTCCTAGGTCTGGCTTCTGGAGATGAATGCAAACCCAGCACTGCACACCAACTGCAAAGTCTTGAAAGACATCATCCCAACTATAGTCTACGAGAGTCTTGGTAAGTGAACAAGTCAAAGGGTGGCCAGCAGCAGATAATCCGATCACTGCATTGCTTGTCAGAGGAAAGACTCCTCTTTATAGCAGTTGTAGGTCCAAAAATCCCTTTGAATAAAGATATTTCACTGATGAGTTTATAAACAATTTAGAAGGCACTGAATTCTAATCCATGCAGACCTAGAAGCTGTGGTCTTTTTAGCCATGTACCCATGAGAAATAAGTGGATAATTTTTTTGTTGTTGTAATTGTTTTTAAGAATGATTTCTTCTATATTTATGTACAAAAGGCTATATCTCAATACATGACCCTATAAACTGCACCTGCACATTTTTCTCACGCCTGTTGTTCTGCACGTACAGGAATTTAAGTTGGTTTGCACAGTGTGCCTTACACAGCCAGGGCAGTGCTTAAATGCCAGTGTACCCCACCACATATAGCACAAATATAGCTGGCAACTGTCACATGAACTATTTACAAGGATTGAAAAAATCCTTATGTAGTTTGATATTCATTAACCAGAACTGGGCCTGCCTACAGCACTAAAATGTCTTTTACCTCTGATTTTCTGTGATATCCCTGTATGTGTAAGAAGAAGTAGTAAAGGGAGAGTCTATGTCTGCATGAAAGGTATCAGCAACAGCCTACTTGTGCTTACCTTCACAGAGACAGTCACCTTCTTGTGCACAGGCATGTTTATTTTGGGGTGTATTCACATTCTGTGTTGCACTGCAAGCAGCTTTACAATATTTTTTACTACAAATTTCCTAAAATGTTTCCAGTGGAGCTGAAACTGGCTGAAGGGAATACTAGAAATGTGTAATGTTTGGGGTTTTGGGGTTTTTTTAATTTATCTTAATAGTAATATTCCAGAGAGGCCACAGATCACAGGTTGGAAACCATTTCCCCTCCTCACCCCTCATTCCTTCCACATGCACAGCTGCTTTGTGCACACACATGACAGCTTGGGTGTATTTTAGTGTCAGAGTGTTAAGACCACCTCCTAACTGCATTTTCTTTTCCAGATTTGGTTCTCGAGGTTTTCAACAAGAGCCTCAAAGGCAAAAGTCTTTTGCCTTTAGAGACACTCAGCCATTTTGTGCTTCTCTATCACACGGATGCTTCAGACCTTGGCCAGAAAGACCCCTCGAATGTCAGACCTGGCCCGTGTACAGGTCGATATCTGCGGCCACAATCAGGCAGTAGCAGCCACTGTGGTCAGAGCCCTGCCAAAGTGCCAGAGAACTCTTCCAAGAAGCTTGGTCACTCCAGGAAAAAAAAAAAAAAAAAAGGTTGCCTTGTTGCCCAGAAAGAATTGTCAACAAACTGTCCTAACTATACCAAACTATACCACACGTGCAGCCCTTTGACCATCATGGGAAAACCCTCTGAATTATTATTACAAAGCAAGAGGCTTTCAGAAGTTCAGAAGAGATAAAAAGAAAATAAAAGCTAAACTTGTGTCTGCTGTGCAAATCTAGGTCATTTTCACCTCTATAAACAAACAGGTATCCTCCTCATTCTAGTGGTCTTTCACATATGAGAAGACTCTTACCATACCACAGCAGTATTCTTTACTCTAGGCCAAGTGTTGAGCTGCATTATACATTTCCTTCCATAATTTCACCATATTCCAAGAAACAATGTTGTTCTTCCCTTGTCCATTAAGACAGGCACACTGAGAGTGCCTTCATCACCCCTACACTCTTTTCTATGTAATGCCAGTAGAAAATTAGGAGTGTCAAAGTGCTTTGTTGAATTTAGGACCTAGCCTATGCTTAATGTGAGGAGACATTTAGTGGCATGTTCCCTGAAGTCCAGGTGTGTTATTCCTAGACACATCTGTTTCTGATTCTGCATCTGCTGCATTTTTTTCTTAGAGTTCACTGAGCTGTTACTACCCAACATTCCTGTTGAAAATAACATATTCTAAAATACATCAAATTTATGCCAGAAATCCTAAAATTTGTCTGCTCACTGAGCATTAATCTCTCTCTTTTTTTAACACGCAGCACATCTAAGTGCTTTTCTATGCCTTTCTGTACTCCTTTCCATTTCAGAGTGTGGTCCAACTCAGAATGCCAGAGTGAGGCATCCCTGCACCCTAATGGCCTTGCAATCCTAGCAGAAACAGAAGATGTGAGTACAAGCAGGGTCATGCAAGCAAAGATTTGTACATAGAAGAAATCATAAGGACCCACCCTCGGTGTCCTGCCAAGAGAAAGGCTCACAATGGAGCAAACGTGTGCAGGTCACAACAGCCAAGTGAGAGACGCTTCACTGAGCTCTGTGGAGCTTTGACATGTTTTTGAGCACAGTAGCTGACAATTCTCAATTTTTCACCTTGCTTTGAACAGGGAAGGGAGCCTGCTCCAGGGACTGGAGGAAGTGCCAGTTTTATTTGCCTAATTCTAGGATCAATAATGTTAGCTGGCCTCTTATCACTAAATTTGTTTACCCAGGGAGTACAAGTGAGCTACATGAACAAGCCATCGACCAGGAGGTGTTGAAAGAAGGTCATAAGAACAGGAGATTACAGGACAGAGAGCTGAGGAAGGTGTACTGGGGGGCAGACATGGTGTCCAAGGAGACACAGATCCAGAAGAGCTGCCTTCAGCGCAGCAATGTCTCCTGATGGCTGTCTTTGGTCTATGTCTGACAAAAACATAGAGCCAAACTAGAAAACTTTATAACTACAGAAAGAAAGAAGGTCCTTGATCTGTATAACATTGGAGTCAATAAAAATCTAAGTCCTTCCTGAGGTGTAACTACTACACTGGTAAAAAAAAATTAAATTTCCTCTTAGTTACAGTCACAAAATAAAGACTTTTCAACACACGCTGACTGTCACACAAGCAACACACTGCAACATCCACAAGGGTCACAAGATGGCAGGATGACACTGCCACTGAAAACACCCACCCAGCTGTGCAACAGGGAATTCACACACAGCAAGCAACAAGTCCTCCCAAAGCTTTTGCCCATGTCATGGTACATTCAGATTCCTCAAGGGTAAGAGTCCACTGGAAAGCCAGCTTGTCTTCCCCACCTTTATTTACTAACAGTCTGCTAAGGTTTCCCCTTTTTTAAGCATCCACTCTGCTGTCCTTGATGTCTAGCATGGCACAGACCCTAGGGCAATGCTGTACCTCAGTTGTGTCTAACAGCATGCTTGTCTTCAGTTTGGGGGGAGAAAATGCAACCCAGTCCATCCATCCTTAAGAGCTGCTGATTTCTGATGTTCCCTACAGTTCACATCATTATTTATACGTAGTGGATATGAGCTAATTTTACAGTAGTTAGCCCAGGTGGCCCTGCTCTAAGGATTCAACATAGATTGCAGAAATCCATCCAGGACCCAGCATACTGTGAGCTCACACTGATCCCCACTCCCATTAGCTGGACAGCACTACTTTGAAGGAAAGGGAAAATATCCCTCAATAAAGGGACTTGAATGCCAAGCCCAAAGTGCTTTGAACTAAGATGAAATTCTAATTCAAATCAAACCAGTGTCTCTAACAACCTCTTGTGAGAGGGAGAAGGAAAACGAGACCTTCATCTTTTAATAGTTAAAGCTGTTTGGTTGTCTCAGCTAGTACTCATGAAACCATAGTATAAATGATTTTGTTAAAGTAGGTAGGAAACTTATAGCAAACCTGGAAATTCATCATTGGCTTCCCAGTTTCCAAGCATATATCCTAAATACCTTTCTTTTACCAACCTATAACCCCCAAAAACATCATCCTTCTAGTTTTATCTCATTTTGCTCTGTCTCGAAAAAAAAAAAGGGGGGTGCTGTGTGATGAACAGTGGAAGAAAACGGAGCTGATGAGACATCTGTTGTGTAACATCATTCTGAAGTGGGAAGGAAAACCTATTCAGCATCTGGGAAGGATATGGGACCTCCTCATTCTGATCTCAGCTGTATATATGCCTCAAGGAGAAATCTTACTCAATTTTCTTACTATATTTATTGCCTGATTCTTATCAGAAAAAGAAACATTGTAAAATACTATGTAAATACTACAAATAAAAATCATTTACCTGAACCTAAACCATGTGTAGAAAGCAGGATTCAGGTAACTGTTGGTTTGGAGAGCCACTGCCTTCCTTTGACATGGCAGGCACAGTGCAATTCTTGATGGTGAACACTCCCTTTTCTAGAGCTTTTCTTCCCTGCCCAAATCAAGAAGAAATGTTAAGCCTGGAAGTTTTCACAAACCAAATCTTTTTTCCCCTAAATACTCATTACTGTCTTCTACCCTCCAAGAAGAACAACCCCAAAACCCTCCAGAATAAAAATCTATTCATTCTGATGATTCCAAAAGATTTTATTTGTATTTTGAACACAAAGAATTTTTTCTCCACTCTACATATATGTAGCACAGAAAGGGAAGCATTGTTACAAATCAAAACAACCAAGTATTTAATTTCAAACAGAAGTTCTCAGTTACCTGTAGGTCAGTCATCCAGGCTGTAATCTGTGGTATAGCTGAAAAGTCACCTCAACAAGCTTTGTGTGGTGCCATGGTCCCTGTTCTATCCCAATTTTTCCTTTATGTTGCCTGCACTGGCCACATGTCAATCAAGAAAACAGACAGCTGTGGATATTGAAAAAAAAATTCAACAATTTTAGAAGAAAAAAAAAAATCTAACAAAGGTATGCCCATGAGCATCATAAATTATCAATCTCTTTTCCTGATGCTTTTAAGAACTGAACACCTCTGGCAGGTTGGGCTGAAACTAAGCGATAAATTGAAAAGTGCCCTGGTTTTTGCACAATTGTTTAATTTCCCTTGGGAAAGGAGACAAAAAAATTTGTCAGGAAGTCCCATGAAAATATTGTTTACCTTCTTCAGTTTCAGGACACTAACAATTTGCTGGAAACATGAGCAGACATGGTAGCACAAAAATCCAGTGCCTGCTCATTTCTTTAGCTGCCTTCTGTTTGAGCAAAACCTCTAGTATGAGAAAAGCCATTTCGGTACCTTGGGCATCTCTCTTATGCTGTTATTCTTTCAGCTAAAAGAGAAGAAATCCCCAAAGCTCACCAGGGTCCCAAACACCCATGGTCATTATTTATGCATGTAAGTGCATGACTATGTAAAGGGTATTGCCTTGTTCTCCTAACTGCTACCCTGCATTTCCTAAAACTGTGTGGGAAGGTCTTTATCTGATTACGAACAGCAAGACACTTCTAAGTATCAAACTTTGTCTTACATGAAGTTTAAAGCTCTATTTTTAGCAGTATGAAGTTTCTTAAACATTTACACACAGAGAAAATACCTTAAAGAAGTGAAGATGCAGAAGAAGTTTTTTTTATTAAACTTTTGGAGAATGTGCATGAAAACAAAGATAGAAAGATAAATCCTCTCCTCTGCTAGGTGCCATTTCCCTGCCCTGAAATTTTGCCATCATCCCTTTTTCCCCTCCCCAGACTGTTTGTGGGGACTCAATACCTATCTAGGAAAGACTCCCACTAAATGGCAACAAGTCTTTACTCATCGCTGGCAGCTCAGGAATTTTTTTTAAAATTAGGTTCCTCAGCTCATAGGACAACTCAAATACAAGCTTAAGATAAACGTTGGGCAACTCCCAATAAAACAAGAACCAAGTGCTACAAACTGTCTCATAAAAAAATTGCATTTTTTTCCATGAACATGAAATGTACCTTTTACATTTCACCTACATGTTGTGTAAAACTTACTATGTCCTCAGTTATGCCATAATTTGATGTTGTCATTTTGAAGCTTGCATATTCACCTTTTTGTTAGCACTGACAAGGAACTTTTTGGAGTTGGGTTTTTTTTTTAAAGATATTATCATATAACATATTTTAACTACTTACTCATGACAATAACATTAATGAAATAACATTGTATTCTAAAATTTGCTTGATCACTTAGCCTCTAGAAACTTTGGGATATTTTTCAGGGATGTTTTAGTTTCTCTTTTGAAAAAGAGATTAAAGTAAAAAAAAAATACTGTTATAGACATTTCATTTGATACAAATGACTTGAGGGAGAAGCCTTTTTTAACCTACAGTCCATATACAGAGATCAATATGAAATTCAAATTGGAACTTGAAAAACTTCATAAGCTCTGGGATTTGAGCTGAAAAATTAGCCATGATCTGATTCAAATATTGAAGTAATTTCATACTGATAAAATAAAGCTATCGTTCTTTCTGAATGGAAACTTAAATATCGTGTTTTCTTACAACCTCACTGCTCTGAGCCAATGGCTTTCATTTCCTTTGATACAAAGAACAGCTCTTTTACTGAAATTCTCCAGGGCTTAAATGATTCACACTTTGGGTTTTTCCCTCTGAATTGGAGCTTTAAGAAGTCAGGAAATTGGTTGCTTTTCCCATCAATAAGCAGCTGTAAAGTCAGGTGGTTAGGTAAGCAGGAAGTGGAACTGTTCTTCAAGGTAGACAGAGAGAAACCCAAAAGGCCACTGTGCAAATTTCCAATGAATAATATGGCTCTGCTCATCACGTTTCAGTATTAATTGGCAGCAGCGTCAGCTATTCAACACCCACAGCCCAGAAAGTCTTGTACACCTCACCAAGATTTGCTGTGTCTTGCCAGAGGCACAGACTTCCACCAGACACTCAAATCTCTCCTTCCTCAAATAGTAAGCTCTCATAAATTACTTTTTTTTTTCCCAAAATGTTGCTGCTTCTCTGCCATTGTCAGGAATGGCCAAAAATTGTCAGCCACAGTTTCTTGCTAGCTTGGTAGTGGGTAGCTGAGAAGCTGGTTGAGGCAACAGCCAGGAAATATTAAGCCACTTGCTTAAAAAGGAAATAAAAGTGAAAGTGTATCTATCTAAAATTCAGTGACAGAGAATAAACATGGGCAACACAGAAGGAACAGTAAGAAGTGTTTTTCCTGGTCAGTGTTTAGACTTCTGAGAATATTAAATCCCACAGTGAAACTGCTGACAAGGCTGAGACAGTCTTACACTTCAAAAAAGTTACCCTATTGAATCCAGTCCAGTGCTTTCACCTTTCCTTGGCTGAATCTCCAGTTCACCTCAATTAAGAATCTGCACATTTCTCACAGCAAAGGAGGAAATCGCTCTCTTTTAAAGTGAATCTCACATAGTGATACCTATGGGAAAAATTATCAGCAACACAAGAATTACCATTAAGAGGATCAAAGAAGGCAAAAATACATTGCAAGTAGTAATTACATCTCACAATGTCCTTTTAGGTCTAAGGAGTATCACTGCTCCTATTCTACACAAAGTTGCAGTAAAGGCAATAACAGAGAAGCCAGATTAAAACTACAACTATAGGGGAATACGTTATAGTGAATAAGGACAACCCTTTGCACTTCACTTTACAATTATTTCACACAGTTACAAGACTCTAATGCACAAAAAAAGGCAGAAAGTAAAAAAGACATGATAACTCCTCTTGGCATAATCACTGAAGGAATGTTCAGCAATAAAAGCAAGTCTATGAATCATAAAATTAATTCTTCAGCTCTATTCAAGCTTGCCAAGACCTCCTCCAGAGAAAGCTTCAAGAAAGACTAACTGGAAAGAGCTTAGAGTGGGAGATGGAGAGTCTAGAAACCACAACCTGTGAAGTAGGATAAGAGCCTAGAGAAACTAAGGAGAGAT